CGTAGTGTATGAGTGTGTGTGTTTCCCAGTACTGAGTTGCGGCTGGAAGGGCACCCGCTGCGTAAAACATATGCTGGAATAGTTGGCAGTTCATTCCGCTGTGGCGACCCCGGATTAATAAAGGGACTAAGCCGAAAAGAAAATGAATGATTTAATAATAATAATAATAATAATAACAATAATAATAATAATAATGATATATTACAATTTATAATATTTAGTATAGTCAAATAAACAGAGTATTTAGTTTCATTACTATTTAAATTATTGATCTTTGGGAAATGCACTTCTCAAAACACATTATTCTGAACAGATCAACATTTTCTATATCGTTTTTCACCTAGAAATGTGCGTGAGATAAAACACTAAGTGCAATCAAGTTTTTACTTGTCGTAAAAGCAGCAAGACGAGTTGAGAGAGTTCAGTGCTTTTCCATGCTGAAATGTCAGATACACAGCTATATCTTAAAGGATCATGGGAGGGTCTGAAGTGTTTGATTTTTTTGTCGCGGAGGGCAGAAAGCCAGGGGTTTTCCAGCACTTCTGATTCCCCCTACAGGCTACAGTGCTGATCTGAGATCTCAACAATACGTTTACATGGACACCAGTACTCTGACTTTAATGCGATTAAGACAATACTCTGATTAAGAGTCGACCATGTAGACAGAGATTTTTGATGACCTTAATCTGACTAAAGTCCTAATCGAACTAAACAGAAATGGAATTAAGACATGTGGAGTATTCTTACTTTAGTGGCATTATTGAAGTGCAGTACAGACATGTAAACACTGCAATCAAACTATTACCGTCATGTAGGACTTCTCACTCCATTTTATTGCGACTGGATGCACACACTGCAAATTTCCAAAAAGCACTTCCCCTTTAATCATATTACTGTCTTATTCAGATTAAGGAAACTAATTTGATTGCAGATTTCCATGTAAACGTAGTCATTAAGGGGGAATTCAGTTAATATTTGTGAAATGCGGACCCTCACCTTGCGAATCCGACCCCTCGACTGGCCCCGTTGGTGTCTCGGAGTATTCGTGTGGAGACGACCTGACCGAAGGGCTTCAGCATGGCCTCCAACTCCTGCTCATCCATGGTTAACGGCAGGTTAGAGATGTACAGGTTAGTCGGGTCCTGCTCTTGTTGCTGTTGGGAGAAAGAGAGAAAAACAGTGGGAAAAATGGTGAATATTGTGCTTTTTTTTTTTTTTTTACTCACAGAAAAAAACAACAATCACTTATTTAGAGTGTCAAAATAATAGCGGTATTATTCTGAGCATGAAAGCAAATGATTAAAATATGCCCTAGAATAAAATTCAATAAAACAAAAATAGAAATAAAAAGAATTAAAAGGCAGTTTATTTGCTGCTGGGAGAGATAAAAATGGACAAAAAATTATCGAACTGCTATTTTATTTGGCTTAGAGTCAATAATCAGAGTGCAAAAATAAAAACTGAATAATTTTTTATTTAAACAAATAAATATATTGTTTATGAGATTATAGAGTATATATATATATATATACTCTAGAAGGTCGCAAGAAGATCGCTAAATCGAACCATCGTTTGTATATGTGTGAATGCAAGAGTGTATGAGTGTTTGGGTTACAGCTGGGAGGGCATTCAATGTGTTAAACATATGTTGGATAAGTTGGCGGTTCATTCCGTAGTGGCAACCCCTGATTAATAAAGAGACTAAGCCGACATGAAAGAAAATAAATGAATGAGTGTATTCAGACACCAAAATGGGCAGATTCTGGAGGCTATAATAAATTATCTGATGGGTATTTTGAGATTAAACTTTACAGGAGACACTCTGTCATTCTGGAGAAACAAAAGGCTTGTCTTACATCTTGTAAAATGGGGTAAAATAGGTGCCCTTCAGGATAAAACAACTAAATAAAATAAAAAAGGTTAGTTGCTTCTGGGAGAGGTAACAATGGACAAAAAAAAAAAAAAGAATAAATATGATAAATATTGATATTACCATTATATTATTATTGTTATTATTATTATTTATTATAAATTTTTTCATCATCATTACTTAATTATTATTATTATTTAATTATTATTATTATTATTATTATTAAATATTATTTAATAACAGACTATTATTAATTAATGCTAAAAAACTCAATAACATATATTTTAAAAAGACATGTTCTACATATATTTTACATTTAAAATGCATTACTAATGTTTTATTAACCTTTGCATTTGTTTTTTTCCTTCGCAAATCTCTCCGTGTTGTTGACAAATTCAAACAATTTCAAACACAATTGTTATTTTAATATATAATGTTTTATTTAATAAACAATTTCTACCAAAAATACAATCATTTAAATTAAATCAATTGATAAAAAGTCACCAAATGCTGTCGCACAGTACTTTATTCATTCATTTTCCTTTGGCTTAGTCCCTTTATTAATCAGGGGTCACCACAGCCGATTGAACTGCCAACTTATCCAGCATATGTTTTATGTAATGGATGCCCTTCCAGCTGCAACCTAGTACTGGGAAACACCCACACACACTCATTCACACTCATACACTATGAACAATTTAGTTTACTCAATTCCCCTGTAGTGAACGTGTTTGGACTGTGGGGGAAACCGGAGCACCCGGAGAAAACCCACGCCAACACATGAGAGACAACATGCAAACTCCACACAGAAATGCCAACTGGCCCAACCAGGACTCGAACCAGCAACCTTCTTGCTGTGAGGCCACAGTGCTAACCACTGAGCCACCGTGTCACCCAGCACAGTACTTAGAAGATAAAATCTAACAGGTTACATGAATCACAGTTCTTTCTGTAATTTGTCATCAGTTTATGGATTACGATTCTTAAGTAATTAAATTAGGATAGATCAAAGTGCCTCAAAATGATTTCTGCATAATAACTTAAGAACTTAAACTGTTTTGAATATTCAAAAAGGTGAGCAAAGCAGAGGCAAACACTGTTTTGCAGAACCACTTGGTGAAGGTTTTGTTTAAAAGTGTGTTAATGCTACCTTCTGAACACAGAACACACACACACACACACACACACACACACACACACACACACACACACACACACACACACACACACACACACACACACACACACACACACACACACACACACACTTTTGTGAAAAGTGGGGACATTACATAGGTTTCCATTCATTTTATACGGTCCAAACTGTATATTGCATTGCCCTCACCCCACTCCAAACCTAAACCCAACCATCACAGGAGACTGTGTGCAGCTTTACTCTCAGATTAAACTTATTCTGTAGGATTTATAAGTATTTTGAGAAATGAGGACGTCACCAATGTCCTCATATTTCGCCTCCTTGTTGTAATACCCGTGTCATACCTATGTCATTATACAGATTTGTGTCCTGATACGTCACAAAAACACGTACACACACACACACACACACACACACAGGCCCGGATTGGCTAATCGGGAGGACCGGGAGAATTCCCGGTGGGCCGGTCCGTTTTTTGGCCGCGAGGGCCGGTGTCCCTAGCTCCAGAATCTGTTGCTCTCAGCAGTCACACTTTTTAAATTTATTTATTTACTTGACCACAGCCTTTTAATTCATTATTTCACCGCAACTCTGCTCTTTTTGATATGATAAAACTCAGTTGTGTCACAGCTGTTGTTGTCCAGCGGTTAGCACGTTAGGTTAAGACACCGCGGACCCGGGTTCGATCCTCATTAGAGCAATTTATTGTTTTCATTTTTATTTTTAAGACAAATAATACTGTTAGGGTTGTTAAACATTTGAAGTTCTAAAGCAGCTGTTTTCTCAAAAAACAAGACGTGATAGTGTCATTAGAAACTGATTTGGAAACGACCTTATTTTAATATAGTCAGTCGTGAAATGAGGTGGGCCGGACTGAGGCTTGAAACTCCAGGGCTGAAAAGGAGTCCCACTCCGGCCCTGCACACACACCTGTAAAAACACCTTAGTCCTACAGATCTTATCATTCAAACACACACTTCCAGAGCGCCGTCACACTTTATACACACTTTATCAGTTAACGCACGAACAGCTGCAGATCTGACAACAGCAATCACTGACCATACACACCTGCCCGTCAATAAGCACTTCTTACACAACCTAAGCGCATTACAAAAACACTCACACCTCGACAGCAGAATACAATAAATACACAAAATGCTTAATAGAGTGTGTGTGGAACAAGACATTGGGTCAAAAGGATCTTGGAAGTCAGGCAGAAGTTATAGAGTTCCTCTAACGAAGATTCCAAATGCAATACAAATACATACTCACTCACACACTACAGCCAATTTAGTTAATTCAATTCCCCTATAGCGCATGTGTTTGGACTGTGGGGGAAACCGGAGCACCTGGGGCAAACCCACGCCAACATGGGGAGAACATGCAAACTCCACACAGAAATGCCAACTGACCAAGCCGAGGCTCGAACCAGCAACCCAAAGCAGCTTAATAAAGATGAAGAATAAAAATCCACAACACAACTGAACACCATTATAAGCATAGCAGAAAACCAGCAGTGCTTTATATTTATTCCTTCAAACTGAACTGTTATACAGCAAAGCTGATATGTAAATACATGAGTACAGGTGAATTAAATTCATAAATGAGGTTAAAGTGAAAACACGTCTACCACTGTTGACTCCCAGGCTAATAAAGGGTAAGCATTAATATTGATGAGCAGCTAATTTGCATGCAGCTCCTAACCGACGCCCCCAATCCATTCTGTGCAGTGAAACATTGACTGATTTCCTGCTGTAGTTTCCCTTCCATCAGCAGAAATAGAGTGTGAGAGAGAGAGTGAGAGAGAGAAAGAGAGAATTTGAATTTTCAACACGCCTTTAATAAACATTTTAAAGACGTTATACAATCAAATGTTACACATAAAAATTAAAAACAGCCTAAAAAATCATAAACTCTAAATTTTCATCACAAATTTGACATAAAACTCCTTTGTAACACCAAATTTTTTCAAAACACATAAGATCACCCATTGTTTTGTAATACTGGAAATTAATTAAAATTCTGGATTTCACCAAGGTAAAAAAAAAAAGTTTTTAAACAGCCACTTGAGTTTTGCTCAACTTGTATTTTTCTAGTGTCATAAATTGCCATTTTTGCTTGACCCAAAAGAAAATTTAATAACTGACAAAAAAAAGAGAAAGAGAGAGAGAGAGAGAGAGAGAGAGAGAGAATTTTAAATACACTTTTATTTAATACAAAAATTTTAAACTACAACATGTTTCATTGCTTTAAACAAACACATTTCAAAATCACACTATATTTTCTTCAAAAATCAATACATTATTTTCAACCCAACACAACATATTTTTTTACACTCCACATGTCTTCAAACTTGTCCAACTCGTTCATTGACAAATAAAAATTAAAATCATGCCTTATTCTTACTCTGATAAGCCCTTTAAAAATCAGTTCAACTTTATGATTGGTCTCATACAAAATCTTGTGCCTCCTACTCATGTATATATCCATTTTTGCTTGTCCTAATATAAAATTTAACAGACGCCCTTTTCCTTTTTCTTTTTTCCATATTTAAAACCAAACACAAACACAGCTTTTGTAAACATCTCATCAACAGAAAGGAAAATAACCTCCAATAAATTGAATAAAGACCCCAGTCTTTCACTGAAAAAGAGAGAAAGACAGAGAGAGAGAGAGAGAGAGAGAGAGAGAGAGAGAGTACATGTACAGAAGTATTTACAGCCTTTGCTATGAAGCTCTAAATTGAGCTCAGGCACATTTTGTTTCCACTGATCATTCTTGAGATGTTTCAGCAGCTTCATTGGAGTTCACCTGTGGTCAATTCAGTTGATTTGACATGATTTGAAAAGGCATACACCCGTCTGTAAGTTCCCTATAATCCTATAATGAAGCATTTGACTACTTTAGTAAATGTTTGTGTTCATTTAAGAGAAAATTTGTTGTGTTTAAAATAATAAACACGCAGGACGGAGCAAAAAAAAAAAAAAAACACAAAAAAAACCCCCCAAAAAAACAGAAGCACTTTTCCGACGGTCCCTTACTGAGAGCTCCGCTCAGTGCAAGCTCTCCCGGCTCAACGCATATTGCAAGGGCTTAAAGGGAGCAGTGGTCATAATATCGAGTGAATA